AAAAAAAAAAAAAAAAAAAACAGGTAATACATTCACATCATTCAAACATCCAAAAATCACAAGGCAGAAGCCTTCCATTCCTGAACCTCAGCTACTCAGTGCTCCCCTGAGGTGACCCATTTCTGTATTTCCTTCCAAAGCTCTCCATGCTAGAAAAGCAAATATTACATTTTCCCCATTTAGCACAAGTGGCAGCTTATTTAGCTCAGGGGTCTCCACTTTGCCTTTTTTGCCTAACAGCGTAAACTGGTGATTTCAAAATAATACCATAAAGACCCAGTCCACTTTCCTCCCTCCTCCCTTGCAAATAAATGCACCATGGTTGAACCAATTCCTTATTGATAAGTTTTTACATCCAAAGCAGATCCTGACCCGGCGAGGTGGTTCATACCTTAATCCCAGCACTTTGGGAGGCCAGGGCGGACGGATCGCCTGATGTCAAGAGTTCAAGATCAGCCTGGCCAACATGGTGAAACCCTGTCTCTACTAAAAATGCAAAAATTAGCCAGGTGTGGTGGCACATACCTGTAATCCCAGCTACTCAGGAGGCTGAGGCAGGAGAATCGCTTGAACCCGGGAGGTGGAGGTTGCAGTGAGCTGAGATTGCATCACTGCACTCCAGCCTGGCGTCTGGTGACAGAGTGAGACTCTGTCTCAAAAAATAAAAAAATAAAAATAAACTCAGTGCCTCTTCAAATTCATTTGTCTTTGAAAATAAGCAGCTCTCCAGCTCTGAGAGCCACTTTGCTTCCGTTTCTGGAACCTGTCTTTTCTCACCCTTCCCCATCTTTCTATTGCATGTCAGCAGGTCTGTTTCTTTTTTGAGACAGAGTCTCCTTCTGTTGCCCAGGCTGGAGTGAAGTGGCACGATCTCGGCTCACTGCAACCTCTGCCTCTGGGTTCAAGCGATCCTCCCACTTCAGCAGCCTGTAGCTGGGATTACAGGCGTGCACCACCATGCCCTGATAGTTTTGTATGTTTAGTAGAGACGGGGTTTCACCATGTTGTCCAGGCTGGTCTTGAACTCCTGGCCTCAAGTGATCCACCTGACTTGGCTTCCCAGAGTGGTGGGATTACAGATGTGAGCCACCTTGCCCATTCAGGACAGTTTCTTGGTGGTTAGACTGTTAAACCTGGGCAGGATTTGTGAGGCCACTTGAGGACCCTGGGGCAAGGCAGCTGTGCAGGGCAGGCTCAGGGTACCCACGATGGAGCCAGATGGGTCGTCCAGACTGGGCCTGTGACCTGCCCGACAGGGACCCCCGTGCCCCCACTGACCAGCTTGCTGTGGCCTTTCCTCACCAGGAGCAGCACTCAGCACAGAGCAGAGGAGACGATCTTCCAGACTGCAGCATTTCCCTGGGAACGCTCTCATCAGCCCATGCCTGCCTTGTACCCATCTCTCTGCACACCTCCTGGAACCAGCCTCAGACCTGGGTGCAGCTGTTGCCAGCGCCCACGTTGCCCAAGAGGGCTGTTCACAGCCCAGAGGCCTGGTTTGAGCAACAAGTTGACAGTGACTTGGCCTTTGCAGTCTGTGTTCTCAAGGAAGCAGCTTTCTGGAGAGGGAGGCAGCTGTTACACCAAGCTCACGGGTAACCTCAGCCTGTAGATGTCCGCAAGCTGTACTCCCCCATTACCAGCACTATGGGGGCAAAGGATGATGACATTCTGAGCACTCATTTCTCCTGCAAGAAGCAGAATGTGGGCAAGGTATTCACCCAGTGGATTAGTGCATAGCACTGAGAACTGTCTACAGCTGTCAGCAACAACGTGGATAATCTTGCAAGCGTGGCGGTGAGTGAAGGAAGCCAGGCATGAAAGAGCCTTCACTGCATTCTACTTATATAAAGTGCAAAAACAGGCAAAGTGATTTACAGAGTGGTCTCCCCAAGGTCAGTAGTGACAAAGGGGACACAGGGAACCCCTGAGATATGGGTGATGCTGTTTCTTCAGGTTTTTTTTTTTTTTTTTGAGACAGAGGAGTCTTGCTCTGTCACTCGGGCTGGAGTGCAGTGCATGATCTCAGCTTACTGCAACCTCTGCCTCCCAGGTTCAAGCAATTCTGCCTCAGCCTCCCAAATAGCTGGGACTACAGGCACATGCCACCACGCCCAGCTAATTTTTTAAAATTTATTTTAGTAGAGATGGGTTTTCACCGTGTTAGCCAGGGTGGTCTCAATCTCCTGACCTCATTATATGCCTGCCACAGCCTCCCAAAATATGCTGGGATTATAGGCATGAATCACCTCGTCCAGCTTTTTTTTTTTTTTTTT